CTGCCTGCAAGCAGAACTCCTAGCTCATGGGACATGTGTGTGTTCTCAAGCTTTGATACCAAAGTCCCTCTCTCCCTCTCCTCCCCCTCTCTAAGTTCCTTCCTTCCTTCTTTCCTTCCTTCCTTCCTTTATTTGTGTGTGTGTGTGTGTGTGTGTGTGTGTTTAGGTCAGAGGACAACTTGCAGGAGTCAGCCCTCTACCAAGTGGGTCTCAAGGATCAAATGTGGGTTGTCAGATTTGGCAGCAAGTGTCTCTACCTGCAGAGGCAACTCACTAGGTGATGGGCTTCCTCTTGTCACATAGCAGTGATGGGTGTGTCTGTTCTTAGGGCCTCTTTGCATTGATTGTACCAGCCTCTGCTTTAAATGTTAGTATCAGTTTGTCAGAGCCCCTTTGAGATCAATAACTAGCTAAGGTCAGGCCAGGGGTTGCTCACCCTTTGTGTGACTCTGCCCTATTGATGGTTGATGTGTGTAGCCTGCCTACGGACTAGCGTGTTTGTCTTTTTCTATAGCCTTGTGAAAGCTCTCTGCACATATTCTCTCATGTGCTTTTTGATAAGCTATTTTTCCTCTAACACATCCTGGGCATAGCCCCACAGGCACATGTTATCTTGTGAACATACTGTATTTGTGCAGCCAACACTCTCTGTGCCTTGGTTTCCTTATCTGTAACTCAGACAGCAGTTATATCTCCTCAGAGCTTTGTTGTGTGGCCCATGTGTTACTTACACTGATGATATAAGGAGAATAAATAATGTGTGGTGAGAGAAACTGAGGGAAAAGGACATCCAGGCCTCAGATGGACCAATGTGCTTTCCCTCCCTAGGGTATAGTTCAGAATCAGTGAGCTCCATCTTTCCTTTGTCTCCCTGGCCTGGCATTCACCTCTCTCTGGGCTTCTGAAGAGCCTGAGGACACCCTGGGTCACACCTGGACGTAGAGATCTTTTCCAGTGTCCCTCTTGATTCATGAAAATTTGTCTTGCTGTGTCTTGATCTGTTTTCAGCTGCTATAATATTCTGCTATAGCATCCACAGACTGGATGTTTATAAACAATGGAACTTATTTGGCTCTGGGGTCTTGAGGCTGGGAAGCCTAAGATGGAGGATCCATGTCCCATATGAAGGCTTTTTTGTGGTGGGTTAATGTAGCAGATTTCATAGATGATGGAAGTGCAGAGGAAATGTATGAGGTGAATGCTTCCTACCACACCAACCTACCCATAGTAATGTCACGAGTCCCTCTACAAGGGCAGAGCCCATGGCCTAGGCACCTCTTAGGCCCCACCTCTTCAGCCTCACAGCACAGCCTCACGCACTCAGTCTGGGCTCTGGAGGAAACACTGAACCACAGTATAGTTTCACACCTCTGCCATCAAAGCAAAGCCCTCAGTACTGCCCTGCCTCCAAATGTGCCTCAAGTGTCCCTGTATCTGCAGCCTTCAACACCTGGTTTATGCTCCCAGCTTCCCCTCAGCACAGCGATAGCTGGGCTGTCTTTAGTGTGACTCTCTCTGTCTGCTTGGGTCCTTCTTTATTCCAGATAAGCCTGCCTGTGGCTTGTCAAATGTCCTGAAGGCATTTTCCCAGCAGGGGCTCTAGGGGTCTGGGTTTGGCCCTGAAGCTGAGCACACCGGCTGGAGTGAGTTTGCTGCTGTGTTCAGGTTTAGTAATCTAAACTGGTGTGGGGATGGGGGCTCCCATGTCATTAGATTGTCAGGGCCTTTCAGTGAGCAGCTGTAGGTGGCTTGCTTAGACTAGTGCCTGGCAAACAATGCACTGTCAGCAGGCTACTGCCTTGTGTCTAGCCCTAGCCAGGGGGAAAGCATCCCACTTGGCTTTGGTCCTTCATATCTAGGCATATCTGCTAGCTGCAGGTAGCTGGGACACTGTTCAAAGGGCTGCTTGAAGCTCTCTGTTAAATCGCTTATTTTCTGTGACTGCCACAAGGCAATTCATGAGCTCAGTCAATGAAGGAAATGGGAGGCTAGGCCTATGAGGTCCCCTCTCAGGGCTTCCCTGGGTTCTGCAGGTCCAACACTGGGCACTCAGATGTGGATGCTGGCAATGGAAAAAGCTGGAATCAGCAGCATGTGCCACCAGACATAATCACCAATTGGGAAATGGGTTGATACCGTCTAGCAAGGCATGAGATCATGTGCCACTAGAAGGGCCCGTGACTCTTGCACCACAGCTGTGGTCATTTCTCCAGTTCTCTGACTTCATCAAATTAGAGTGTGCCTTTATTTTAACAAACCAACATATGCATGCACAGTTCTGTGGTGGCACAGCCTTTAAATCCCAGCGTTCAGGAGGCAGAGGTAGGCAGATCTCTGTGAATTTGAACTCACCGTGGCCTACATAGTGAGTTTCAGGCCAGCCAGGGCTACAGAGAGACCCTATCTTAAGGAGTAAAAGCTTCTGACTCACACCTAGCACTCAGGAAGCTGAGGCAGGAGGATCATCAAGAGTTTAAAGTCAAGACAGGAAGAGGAACTCTGAGAGGAGGAGCAGCATTTGAGATGTAAACAAATAAGTTTAAAGTCAGCCTGAGCTACAAAGTGAGGCCCTACCTCAAAACAAAACAAAACCCGAAAAATACAAAGTAATGCAAATCCTGAAAGCTTGACAAAGGTTATGAGAGAAGATGTCCTCTGGACTTCCCAGTGGCCATTGCTCTGCCAGGCAGAGCTGGTTTGGTTTGGTTTGGTTTGGTTTGGTTTGGTTTGGTTTGGTTTGGTTTGGTTTGGTTTTCTCTCAGCTACTGTATCTCCGTAGTTTGATGACATGGTTTCTTTCTTGAGTTGCCTGTTTCATATGTTTCATGTTCTTGTCCCTCTTGTAAGGCAGTGTCACAGATCTCTGATGAGTCTCTACACAGCAGTCACATCTTGTGACAGAGCAGACACTGGGTACAACTGAAGGAACTAGTGCCCTCTGGGCACCTGCTGACTCCAAGCCTGGGCTCTCAGGACAAGTCAGCCTTCTTCAGAGCTAGAACATCCGCAGCCCAGGGAAGTGGCCTCAGTATTAGGCAACATGTGCCTTGCAGAGTGGTGGGCTGGGAAGGGAGGGTAGGTGAGCCTCCTGCTTAGCTTGCTGAATTTAATCCTGGGAGCAAAGTTGCTTAGGGAGGCTGCACGAGGCACGACTTCTTACAGCTCTGGCTGAATGGTTGCCTGGCTCACCCATTCCTTTAGTGAGCATCCATTGAGCCTCTTTGTTTCAGGCACAGTGCTTGGCACAGACTGGCACTTTCTGGTCCTGGTAGATGGTAGGGGAAGAGTCATGCTTGAAAGTGCAGATTGAGTACCGGAGATGATGCAGGAATCTTAGGACCAGCGATCACAAGTAAGTGCTGTGAGACAGGTTGGGACTTGTGAGTGATGGTGTGACATTGTGTTAAGTGCCTGGCTCCACATCAACCTGAGCATCCTCACATTTAATCTAGAAGCAGAGTCCCCTTTGCAGATGCTCACCAGCAAGTGCCTTGCATCTGTAGCATCTCCTGTGACCCCTGGGGAAGGCAGCATGCCTACTTTACATAGGGCATGGTTTCACTGAAGCTGCTAGGTTTTAGGTTCAGATCTGCCTCTGAGTTCCATGCTGTCTGCTTCCTGTAAGGGTCCTGGTCCTCTTCCCTGTGCCCACAGATTATTAGCTCATCTGACTTGGGAGAGACATTCAAGTTAACCTGTAGCTTTGTAAGAATGGGTTGAGAAGTGCCTGCCTAGTGCAGTGGTGACTGTGGCCCAGGCCACTGCCTAACTGTTGCTTCTCTGGAGCCTCTCTCACACGGCTTTCAGGATACTCTTGCTGTAATGACCATTCTTTTCTTTACCCTCAGATTTGCTAAATGACAGTTATTCAGTCTGAGAAATAAGTGTTTTCTCTTGTTGGCTGGCCTTTGGCTTTTCTGCGGTGGCTTCCAGGGTGGCAGCGGAGGTGGGTCTGGGGATGTAGTAAGAACTCCTGCATGTGTGTTAGAGGCTGTTGACCACTTACCGTGCCTGCATGGGAATAGAGCCACTTTCAGCTGTCCACCATGATGGCCAGTAGCTCATCAACTCAAGGGCCACCCCATTCATACTTGAGAAGCCCAGTCGTGGCTCCAAGCGAAGGTGGGCTGCCTGAAGCCCATTCCACGTCAGTACCCACATGTGAAGCTGCTCCCTGGGTCTCCTGGCCTCTCTGTTGTGATGTTGGGCAGTTGGGTGAGGTAGGAAGGGAGTTTTAGGGTCCTCTTTCTAGTCTCCTTCTCAACTCTGTGTACCCTTCTCAACCCTGGCTGTCATGCTAATACCACCAGCCCAGTGAGGCAAATAAAGGTTCACTTTACTCAGGACTGTGCCCTGAAGGAGGATTGAGAGTCTTCCTAGTGAGTCTTCCTAGTGAGACCAGAAACGGAATCAACTGAGTCTAGTTTATTTTCTTATTATGATATAGTTTCTGACCTTGAATTCCACTTTGGGAACTTGTATCAAGAAGATGTAGTGTAGTGCCAGTTTCTTGACCTACACCCCAGCCTCCAACACCACCCCTGACTGAAGCTCCCTCTGGCTTGCTCCTGTGGGCAGGAGGTCACATCATCCCCACCACGGGGGGTGCCCCTTGCAGGTTCATTTCAACCCCATGGGGCTTTCTTCTGTGCCCTGTGTCCACCCCCATGTAAATAGCAACAAACAGCCTAATGTGCTGACTGTCCACTCCCTTCGCAGTCCATTGCAACAAAAGCTACTCTTCGCTCATTAGAACCATTTCTGTCAGGGTGTCTTTAATCAATGGCTTCCCTGGGGATAGTATTTTTAGAAGTTGTATTTTTCACAGTCTCCCCTTTTCCCTTTTGGAAACGTTCTTCCCAGTGCCGAGTGTGGCGCACTAATGAGATGCCAGGAGAGTTGGGGCCGGTGCTAATTGGAACAGGTAGAGTAGCTGCGTGCTCACACTCTGGTTCCATCTCGTCTTACCTGTGACCCTCTTCTCCGTCTCTCTGCTGCAGGTTGCGCAGACGGCAGATGGTGTGGATGCTGACCTCTGGAAGGACGGCTTATTCAAGTCCAAGGTTACCAGATACCTGTGTTTCACAAGATCATTTTCTAAAGAAAATGTGAGTCTGGCAGTGGTTCCCGTTTGCTGAGTGCGCAGGACTGATTTACATTTCTGGTTGGGGCTTCCTCTCTTTTTCGTGTGTGGTTTATGTTCATTGTTGAATTAATTTATCTGTGGTTTCAGTGAACAGGGTAGACTCAGCAGCCACCACTGTGTTTCATTTATTAATGACATTATTAACCACATCCGTAAGTGCACAGTGAATTCCATTAAGATGCATTCTCCAAAGGACACCAGGAAGTTTCCCTCGCTGCACTCTCTGTGACAACTCCCAGGGCACTAGGGATGGGAAAGTCTGCCCAGGCCGCTGGGATGGATAGCGTCTGGCAAAGGGTAGACCAGCTTGGTGGAGGGTCTATGACACTCACTGCCCCTTGGCAGTCCCCAGACATGACATGGCCTTGTTTCTAAGGAGCCTCTGTGTGACATGGGCATCTCATCATTACAGAGAGGTAGTTCCCTATGTACAATTCTTTTATACTGGTTTTTAGTATTGAGCACATGAACTAGGGAACTTTAAAGCTATCTCCGAAAGCTTTCCTAGGGAGGCCAACCTGTGACTGTATATCATTTCTTCCCGAGATGGCCACTCATGCTCACTCACCACCATAACCCTCTGTGGGAAGTGATAAGTTATCTCTTCTAATTGAGATACTTATTTTTGGAAACATTTTCACCAATTTCTAAGTGTAGTTATAATGGTAATATAGATTTTAATTAAAAATTAAAAGACACAATATAAAACATGCCAAATAGAAAAATGAAAGGAAAGAAGCCTTCTTTATTACAGCCTCCCTGTCCCTCACAGCCTCCCAGTCAGTCATAGCCTCCCATCCCTCACAGCCTCTTTCTCTTTCACAACCCATCTCTTCATCATGCCTGGGACCCCACTGCAGGTCCAGATTTATCCCCTCGGCAGTTCTGCGTGTGGACTGTAATATGATCACACAGCACCTGTTGTTGCTCATTGATAACCCTTTGTTCAGAGTGTTGTTCCTAGTGTGTTCAGGATGAGGAACAACGCTGTCCCGTTAAGTTCCCTCTAATTATAAGAGCAATGCATCTGCTGCTTGTAATGTGTAGAGTTTATGACTAAATGGGAAATCTTCTACCATCAGCCTTTGAATGCATTTCCAGTAGCAGGATGGTGACAGCTGAGCCAGAACAGGCACCTGCACAGGGCTTGTGGTGTGTCTGCACAGATCCTTCAGGTTCACTGCAGCCTGGGGGACTCCACAGAACAGGGTGAGGTATCTTCACCTTATATGTGCTGAGCACCCTTGTGCACCAACACCCTCAGGCCCTCTGTCCCAGGAGTCTCCCCAAATGCCTTTGGAAAGCCACTTCTGCTTTTCCTTCCTGTTGTCTCTGCTCTGTCTGCTGACCTCGGCTTCCCGTGGAGGTCCAGTGAGTCCACTCCTACTGTCAGGAGGAGGTCCTGAGGACTTAGTCAAACACCTTGTCCAAGTTACTTTTTTGTTGTTATGATAAAACACCATGACCAGGGCAACTTACTGAAGGATGGATATATTTTGGTGTATGGTCCAAGAGGGATAAAAATCTATTATGGCAGGGAGGTATGGCTGCATGTGGCCAACATGGTGGTAAGAGCAGGACCCTGAGAGCTTCCATCCCCGAAGCAGAACGAGAGCTAAAAGTGCTCAAAGTCCGCCCAGTGATGAACCTCCTCCAGCAAGGCTGCCCCTCTCAGCCTCCTCTAACAGCCCCACAAGCTGGAGACCAAGTGCTCACATCTCAAAAGCACCACAGTCCTGGGCAGTGTTGCTGGCCTCCTAGGCTAACCATGGTCCCTTGGGTCACTTACAGTGGGACCTGCTACATTTACTTCTGAATCTGTGAGCTATTGTTCTTCTAGGCTCCAGGAGTTTGTGAAGCCCTGGGACCTGGGGCAGCAAGTCTGTTGTGGTTCAGGGAAGACACTGGACTCATTGGTTTGGAGTGGATTAAAGAGAGTACAGTCCTCAGCTTAAGGGCAATGGTAGAGCACTTGATTAGTGTACACGGGGCCCTGGATTCACCCCAGGAACTGCCAGAAAACATGTTGCTCCCCATCAGTAGCTGGGTTCTGAGTGTGATAAGGCTGCCAGGAGGGCAGCAAGAGAAGCCCCTGCCCTCAGCTGAAGCCTAGGTGCATGAGTGTGTTCAGTGCTGGGGGAGACACGTTACCAATTCCATCTTCAGCACCAAAAGAGGAATGGATGTGTCCTCTGAGACATCCAGATGACAAATCAGGGGAAAGAATTGCTTTGGGATCAAATTTTGGGGAATGACAGAGCCCACTTGCCAGCCCTTAACTGAGGCAGGAGTTAGGCACATCCTCACCGGTGGCGTCTGCCTGTCTGTCCTGGTCTATAGTCAAACAGAGGCTTGGCAGATCACCATTTTATAACCATCTGGGAGGGTGTGGGATCTCCAGAGCAGGCCAAGTCTTAATTAGGTGACTTGAGACTCCCAACATAGGAGTTTGGGGAGCTTCCTTTGAATCCTAAATTCCTTCCCTCCAATCAGGCCATTAATATAGGAACCTGGCTTTGGAGTGACACCGCTTTCTGGGGAAGGAGTGAGATGAATTGCACTGTTCATGCCCCACACTTTCTGTGTTACCTGCAGTAATAATGTGCATAGATTAGGTGGGGGATGTTGAACAGAAGGATTTATGAACATTTGAATATTAAGTTGGTTATCTGTGGCTACCTTAAATGCAAAGTTGTCAAAAATAATTACAGTATACTAGCAAATGCTGGCTACCAGAGACAATATAAATACCCTGAGTCAGTGTATGTCGGGCTCCTGGTATGAATCATTTGCCCAGCAAGGATTGGGAATGCGTTCTTCATATTTATGAGGAGGAAATGAAAGAAAGCACAAGTGGGGGAGGGGAACCAGGAAAATTAATGGTGTCATAGGCCTATGATATATAAAAAAGGCAGAGGTAGGGGGACCCTGCAGAGTGGCAGCCCCATGGAAGAGGGCCACACCCTCGGGCTGCAGGAAGCTTCAACAGGGCAGCCTCCCATTTTGTATGCATGGAAGGGTTTCCCAACATTTGTAAAGTGGCCACACCACCAATGCTCCGGTTTTAGGATTAAGGCAGTTTTTCAAGAGCGTGGAGAGTGTGGTGGCTAAGTGCTTGCAGTTGACTCCTGTGGAATCCAGCGTATCAAACCGAAGACGGTCAAGCACGATACTGATGAATGCCCATCCATCTGTGGGGCAGTGGAGGATGCACGCCCAGTTGTAAATTTCTCAATGCAGGGAGCAGTGATGACAAGGAAGAGCCTGGGGGAAGGGAACACGGGACAGTCAATTAGACCAGGCTGCTCCGGAGGCAGCTGGTGCTTCCATGGTTCCCTGCTGGGCCCAGCCTTCACGTAGAGTTGGGAGGGCCCACTCCCCACATGCTGTACCGCAGTGCATACTGTCTTCCTGAGCCCTGGCCACCTGAACACTGTTGGCAAGCACAGGGACGCTAAGAGAGAAAGACAGATGTCTGATGGTAGAGTCATGGGTGTGCTGGTCACAGGCTGCACCTGCCACTCTGACTTCCAAATTTCAACTCGAGGCATATTTTACTTATGGGCCATAATAACAAATAATAAACTTTGAGAATTTTGGTGACATTGTTTCCAGTTGCCATTTGAGAAAGTCTGATTCAGTTTCTGATTGCTACCACCCCACCCTGTTGAAAAGTTTGTCATAAACGTTAATGTATTTAGCCAATAATTATTGAATCCCTACTGTGTGCCAAAGACTATGCTAACCTGGGTGAACAGAAGGAGTAAACATCATTTTAGTTCCTATTTAGTGGTGGCACCCAGGACCCATAGTGTACAGTTTCTTACAGACATCTTTCAAGGTGGTGGGTAGATGGATGCTTCATGAGGCGTGTCTTAGCCACTTTCTACTGCTGGAAGAGACACCATAGTCAACACAGCTCTTAGAAAGGAGAGCATTTATCTGCAGGCTTCCTTATCTGAAGTCCATTGTCGTCATGGCAGGGAGCACGGCAGCACACATGGTGCTGTGTCAGTAGCTGTATCCTGATCCCCAACTGAGAGAGAGAGAGATTAGGCCTAGCAAGGGCTTTTGGAACTTCAAAGGCCACCCTTAGTGACACACTTTCTCCAACAAGGCCACACCTCCTAATCCTTTTCAAATAGTGCCGCTACCTGATTATTAAGCATTCAAATATGTGACCCAGTGGAGGCCATTCTAACTCACATCACCACAGTGTCCAGTTATAAATTGATAGGAAGTTAAAGAGAGAGTGTCTGGCTTCATTCAGAAAGCAAATATTCCCTGTGTGGATTTCAGATGCTTGTGTTGTAAAGGTGGAAGTAGAGCCAGGGTTCCCCAAGCCCACAAAAGAGTTGGTCCATCTCTAAGCAACAGGGGAACACTGGCCTGAGAGGTTCCTGGGAGGGCAGAGCCTGGGCTGACCCCTTAGATGTTAGTCCAGGACTGCAGACAAGGGAAATAAGCATGTATTCAAGCTGGGTTTGGGGGGACACAGTGCTTCTGCAAAGTGGACACACACAGCTCATCGCTGGAATCCTAACAGGAGAGATTTGGGCTGGGAACCCATTATTCTTGCCTTAACTGGCTCTGACGAGGCTGAGATGACTCTAAAGACATGAATGGAATTTCCACAGCAGCCCTCATGTTTAAGATGTAGGGCAGATTTCTTAAGAGCTGTTTGTAGCGTGAAGTGAAGGCTGCAAAGGCCGGCGTGTTTGCAAAGAATTCTCTCTTGCAATTATAGAATGGTGTGCCACCAACCATCTTCAAAAGATGCCTTTATGGAAACTATGCACTGCGGACCCCTCTGCCAGCTAAATAGGAGCTCTTATGAGCTCCCCTAGCGAGTTATCTCAGAAGGCGTGGGATACAGAGGTGGCCAGGCTGCCATTCAGTTAGTTTATGATTCTTGGGATTTTGGAAAATGTATCTTGTAACTAAAAACTGTCAGTCTGTGACTAGCAACTCCTTCTGTGTGTGATCAGACCTCGTTCAGTTTAGATGCAGCTCCTCTCTTGACCCTGAGAGGTGGTGGGGTTCGGGGACATTCGCACACCTGCCCTCTGCTGAATGGCTTTGAGATTCCACAGATGAAATCTCCTTTCTGAGGTGCACTGGAGTCCCTGGTAAATGCCGCTACCATCCTCTCCAGTTAACCTGCTGTGGTAAGGCTACAGCAGCCATTGTGTTAAATATGCTTCCTGAAGGCAGGACTGCAAGCTGACTGAGGCGAGTTCCAGTTCACAGTCTGTGTCTTTTCTTTTCCTCCCAAGAGTCATTTGGGGAACGTGCTGGTGGACATGAAGCTCATCGACGTCAAGGACACATTGCCTGTGGGCTTCATCCCCATCCAAGAGACGGTGGATACACGTGAGTCAGCACTTAGCATGCCTTGGGATTGCCTTGGGAGCAGCCTCCTCTCCATCCTCTGCATGCGTTTCTCTCTGGAAATATGTGAGGGGGTTTCCTGTAGATGGTGAAGGAAGCCTGCCTGCCGTTCGTGATATCCACCTTGGTTCTCGGTGTGTCTGAAGAGTGTGTGGGCCTTTGCCTGCAAGTGAGCAGAGTCTTAGATTGACGCCTCCTCACTCAAGGACAGAGCAGTGAGTCTAGGGACCGTTGGTTTGCTCTCAGCTGGTGCTGAAGCCAAGCTTAGCACAAGACCCTGAAGCGAAAGGGAAGAAAAGCAGAGATCAGAAGATGCCCTGGGGCTGCAAGAAACAACTCTGTGCCTCGTCTGGGGCTCACAGAGTGAACAAGAGGCAGAACCCAGAAAGACTTCAAGTTAGAGCGTGCAAGACCTAAATTGGAGCCAGATGTGATGGCTTATGTCTGTAATCACAACACTAGGGGGACGAGGGCAGGAAAACCAGGATTTAAGGTCATCCTTCACTACATAGACGTTCTGAGGCTAGCCTGAGCTACATGAGACCCTGTCTAGTTAAAAAACAAAACAAAACAACAACAGCAACAACAAGTAAAACAAAACAAAACAAAACTCCCCAAGATTTAAATTAGACTAGATGTTCCAACCACTGAGCAACATAGCAGTGAGCTAAGCCTCAGGGAACTGTGGAAAGTGGAGAGGCTGCCTTAGGATCCTAAGGTGCTATGGGCTCTGGTCCTGGAGTGCTAATTGTAATAGCAGGCTGGTAAGATAGTGTCAGGAAGCCTGTGTATCTGAGCTGCTTTATTTGGGTGTACATGAACTTGCTTTATTTGTAATTACTGTAGCCAGTCTTTGCTACTTTGTGGGTTCTTCTTTTCCTCACCTTTATCCTGGTCCCCCAATTTCACTCTGTCACTAGATGAGAGAGAAAGAAGGATAGAGGAGACAGACAGACAGACAGACAGACAGACACACACACACACACACACAGAGAGAGAGAGAGAGAGAGAGAGAGAGAGAGAGAGAGAGAGAGAGAGAGCACTACATCTAATTTCTTTTATTTCTTCTTTGACCATGGCTACTAACAAACCACAACCAATCTCCATAAAGGACCAACAGCCACCAACCCTGCCTCTAGGGGCCCTAGCATTTATGTACTATCTGAAAAGTTCCCAGAATTCCAAATATCATACAGTCATAGAAAGCATCTTCAGCCAGCAAAACCACACCTCTCCTACAGCACAAGGCAAATTATAATTCAGATTTCTACACTTAGGATTAAAACTAAAACACATTCTTATAATATTTCTGTTTTTTTTAAGAACCCAAAACTACCAAATTTTCACTACAATTACTCATGAGCCCACTCCACAGCAGTAAAACAGGGAATAAGAAAACAGAGATCCTTATCTGTGAGATTCTTTTATGGAATTCTGCACCCTGTTCTTTGTCGTTATTTGTATTATGTGTGTGTGTGATTTTTTTTTTCAAATTTTCATGGTGTGAACATTTCTGAACCAGCACTTGCTTGCCATTTTCACACTGAGCAGCTTCTGTGTCTCCTTGGCCGCCCCCAAAGGCACTTATTTCAGCAAAGCAGTGGCCCCTCACTGGCTGATTCAGTTGCTTACCGGGCTGTGTCCTAGCAAAATGTCATGGTGCTGGTTGGCTTTAACTGTCTCTTTGACATCACCTAGAATCACCTTAGAAGGGAGTCTCAGCTGAAGGATTACCTGGCCTCTGGGTATATTTGGGTGGCAGGGGGTTGTTATGATTATTAACTGACTGAGCCCACTGTGGCTGGCACCTTCCCTGAGCAGGAAGTCCTGGGCTGCGTGAGGCGCAGGTGAATGTGAACTCCGAGGAAACATTTGTTTCTCTGCTCTTGACTGTGGATGGGACATGACTAGATGTTTGAGTTCCTGCCTCAGTTTCCCCTCAGTGGTAGACTCTAACCTGGAATTATAAGCCAATAAACCCACTCTTCCTCAGGTTGCCTTTGGACAGGGTGTTTTATCCTAGCAACGAATACTAGGGCATTGATATCTGCTGTGTTTCGTGTAAGGCCTCATGTTAAGTGCTGTAGCCTCATGATCTCACTTTACCTTTAGGAGACCTCAGTAGAGATGGGTGTTAGGCCTATTTTAATATGAGAAAAATAAGGTACGGTGACTACATCTTAGCCAAAAGCAAGAACACACCCATACACACATACATACACATGCCTGCACACACACACATGTACATACATACCCACAGACACATATGCATACAAATGAAAATGTATATGTGCATAAATACACATGGAAACATACATTCTTACATGCATGCATGTACACATATATGCATGCACATGATCATGTGCATATATACACACATGCATACAGATACATATACACAGACATACATACACATACATACACATGCATGCACACATACAACATACTTATGTGTGCACATGCATATGCATGTACAAACACACATGTACTAAGGACATTGCACATCTAGATTTTATGTATCTATGTAGCAGGATTTGTTTTAATGATTTAAGATACAATTCAAATACCACGTAATTCACCCATTTACAGTACACAACCCAGGGTGCCTGCCACCGTGGTCCTTCTGTCACCACATGGAGACATTGCTTCCTAGCCCTCACCTCCCTGCCCACACTAGCTGGTGCTCTCTGCATAGTTCTGCCTGTTTCTGGTAATTCCTACACATAGTCATGTCAAGCTGGGGGAAGGACCCAGTGGATAAAGTGCTCAGTGTACCAGCAAGAGGACCTGAGTCTGGATCCCAAGAGGTAAGCCAAGGGACGGAAGGGCCCTGTCTACCTTTGAATCCTCTGTGGGACCAACCTGGACTCTAGTTTCTGTGCCCTAGTAGTCAGTCTGGCTCTGCTGCTTATGCTTGTAGAACCCCAAGCAGCTCCCCTGCCTTGGTTTACCCATTTATCAGATGAGAAGGATGCTCCCTGCCGGAGCACCCTGGTCCCTTTCAGGTTTTCCTGTGCCTCTGATACTTCTCTTGTTCCTTGAGGACAAGATGGCAGGACTGCTCCATCTCCAGATCAACCCAGGGTCCATCACACACAGGGACTTACCGGCTGAGTGAGTTCTATCAGGATAAGCTTTATTGCCAGGCTGGTATCTCACTGTCTTAAGGTCGCTTCGTTTGCTCAGACCTGCCAGTACTGCTGCTCTGCTTCTTATTTTGTTTTACTATTTAAATTGTATTTAATTTACAGTTTGCTACTTATTAGCAAGCCAGTGCACTTTTGTGAATGTTTGCTTGCTAGCTTGGCCTCTTCTTAGGTGAGGTCTCTGCTTACAAATTAAAATTGTCTTGTTGATTTGCATTCAACCCTGGTCTGTTTTCTCCCTAAGGATTTCAAAGTTTTAAATATCTCTTTGATGTTCCTTTTTAACAGCTAACTGATGTGCAATGTCTTTTGTATGGATATACGGCATAGCCACAAGGGATTTCCTATTCTGATTTTTCTGTTTGTTGAGCTCATACAGTCAGGAGACCCTGTTGTGGGCCTGTACTCTGCTGCAAGGGGCCTGGTGGCTCTGACTGGGAAACCAGTCCCCGTGTTTGCACCAGTTGCTGTCCACTGGGTCCTGCGATCTGCATCACGTGTGTAAGCACCTCTGGTCAAGGACCATTTCTCAAAGACTTCCCAGAGGACCAAGAGCCTCATGGTCAGCCCAGCGTCTCCTGAGAGTACTTAAAGCCTTGATTTCATGAAGTCAGCCAAAAAGATGAGACTCCTGTAATTAATTTAAAATATAGCCTGCTGCAGTCCATACAGCACTTACACACTGGAAGACTGTTTGTTTTAGTAAAGTGTTGTGTACTCTCCCTGTGTTCATTAGCATGACTGAACACATTTCTATTGACTATGTATAATATGTTTACTTAAAATGAGGCCTGCTTAAGCATGTGTAATGAATGAGTGGATCCGGTCTTTACCGGGCTGGCTGCAGATGGAGGCATGGAGCCAAACTGTGCCAAAGGCAGGCACAATACCTGCCCTGCGTTTTACCTCATAGGAGGTCTCTAGTGCGTCTCTTTTAGGGTCTGAACTTGGGAGCTGATGATGGTAGGTTGCTTCTGCATCCCTGTCTTCCAGGATGCCATCTCTGCCTCAAGGATGATGTTTGCCATGTGGATTAGAGACATTTTTACAGCTTGAAGACACCATGTGGCCCTCTGCTTTCACTTCTGGGAAAGAACTCATGGGATTTGGGCATTTCAGCATGGCCTTTTAAAAAGACAGCCCCCTTTTTCTAAACCCTAGCAAGGACTCAACAGTACTCTGATTCTACAGGCCCACAGGACCACCCTTCTGTCTGCCTGCCTGCCTGCAGCAAGACTTTCTGGCTTCTCTTTATTGAGCACTTACCATGTGCCCAGAACTAGCCAAGAAACCATATTATCACATGACATCTACTGAACTGCTCTGGAGTGGGCTTCTACTGAACAGGTCTCTTGTACAGGTGGCAAAGCTGAGGCCCAGAGGGTATAAGTGACTTCTGAGGGGCCAGTGCCAGCACTGGCAGAGCTAGGACTCCAACACAGATCCAACAGATGGAGCCAGGTGAGGCAGCACATGCCTGCAATTCCAGTATTGTTAGGCTGAAACAGGAGGATGACAAGTTTGAGGCTGATCTAGGCTACATAATGAGACCCTGCCTCAAACAAAACCTACTACAGACAACGGAATGATAAGAGTGGAAGAAATAGCCTCCCCAGAGAAGGGCCCCTCCAATTGGTTATCCAGTGCCGAGTGGTGGCCCTGAAATTGTGTACACACAAGAAACATTATACAGACTGAACAGGTTGCATCTATATATTTAGGAATGTATACATAACAATGATTAAAGAAAAAGAGGTCAGGGGCCATGAATTTAAGAGAGAGTGGGAGGCGGTATTATTATGGGAAGGGTATAGGGAGGAAAGAACAGGGAAATTATATAATTAGATTTTAATTTTAAAAATGGTTAAAAAAATTTAAAAACCACAAATCCAACTGAAAGATTTATGGGAAAAGTTCAGAACCACAGATGAGCCAATGGGCACTGTCACCAGTTACTGGAGCACCAGCCTTTGTGCCCAGACTGAAGAAGTGACTGTGACAAGCCACAGACTGGCTCCCCATCCTGTCCACAGCCCGCCTCAGAGGTGCAAAGACTTGGTGAAGAAAAGTCATATTTTAGACAGAAGAACTTGAACTCATGAATGCAAAAAGAGTAGCACAATCAGGAGATCACTGTTTGAAACCACAAACCGGTGTGTGGCTCATAGCTATGAACATCCTAAAAACCTACATCAGAGCAGTGCACAAGGAGGGTGGAGACCCAGGTCTGCACTGGGCCAAAGCTAGCCAGCTCTGATGTGCTCCTGGACCATGGCAGAACAATTGGGCTTTTTGTTTTTTGTTGTTTTGTCTTTTTTCTTGCCTCTCTCTGCCACAAAGGAAGGGGGAGCACAGAGAGGGGCTTATAGAGTAAAAGGGACTGAAGAGACCTGACAGCCCACTGCAGAATGCACAACCTCTGGATGTAAATCCAGACACAGGGTGGGGCATTGTACGATCAGATAAAGGGGTGGGGCAGGGCACCGAGCATTGATGGAGAAATTTGAATTTCAGACCATGGATGAGTTCAGGAGTTTCCTTGTTGTCTGGTAGAAGTGGCAGGGGCATGGCAGCCATGTCTCCTGGTGGAGCAACATGCCATAGAGTTGGGGATTTGTTCTCTAAATCCAGGAAACGTGAAGGTGTGTGGAGACTGGAGCCAGAGTGCTGACCAGGAGCAGGTGGTCCTGCCCTGCAGGTCTCACTCCATGGAGTTTGCTTGAGGATTTCTACATTAAAAAATGAAAAAGAAAGGGGCCTTCCAGTGGTGTGGCTGCATCCTGAGGAAGCTGTGCAGGGACATGGCAGCAGCCTAGGTGGCTTGGCCAGCGCATCTGGGGCCAGCACATCTGGGCGCAGCGCGTCTGGGGTCAGCCCTGGGAGCAGGGCATCTGGGGCCAGCCCTGGGCGCAGGGCATGTGGGCACAGCGCATCTGGGGCCAGCCCTGGGTGCAGGGCATCTGGGGCCAGCGCATCTGGGCACAGGGCAGGGCGGCTGGCGTACTTGGCTGTCATCACCTGTCCTTGGGGGCTTCTGGAAGGGCAAGAACAGAGCTTAGCCCCTCTGCCAGGTGACAGGGTGACCCTCCCCTTCTGCAGCCCTGAAGGGAGAGAAGGGAGCATCTCCACCAGTCTCACACCTTTCTGTCATCCTTTCCTTAGAGGAGGTGGTCTTTAGGAAGAAGAGGCTATGCATTAAGTTTATTCCCCGGGATTCAACCGAAGCTGCCATTTGTGACATTCGCATCATGGGCCGGACCAAGCAGGCACCTCCCCAGTACACATTTATTGGGTAAGTTTCAACAATGTTTCCACACCTGCTTTCTCCTCCCCTGAGAGTGGTTGAGCCACTCGTGGGACCAAGACTGAGAAGTCAGCATAGCTCACAAGGCTCAGCTGTGCTCTGTGCTAGCTAGTGCTCACCTCAGCCTACGTCAGCTTACACTGTAGCTGCTCATGCTAGAGTCCACGCTTCCCTGTGCGGTCACCTTTCATGGCCCTCTGCATCCTGCCCTGAGGCCACTGTGGGCCTCAGCTCCCCATGCTGCTTATCAACCTGGGCCATTTTGTAGCCAACCTGTTTGTGCCACTGGACAGATAGTGTGGGGGGGAGGGGGTAGAAAGAGAGGCTGTTCTGAAGGGAGAGATGAGCAGTGAGCAAGAAGATAAACAAGGTTGCTTCCGACAGTGACACGAGTGTAACTTATCGATGATCCCAGGCAGGGTTACTGAGTGAAGATCTCCAAGTGCAGAAAACCAGCTCTGAGGAGAAGGCTGACCTGGTGGGTGGAGGGGGAGTGAGTGTGGCACATCCTGGGAAGAGAGGCCACCTGAGGACACACCAGGGCGAGTGCTGGGCCATCGGGTCCTAGTCACCTGCAGCCTTGGCAGTGATCAGGGCCTGGCCCAAAGTGCAGGCAGATCCCATCTTCATTCTGTGCCCTCAAGAGACTGGGTGACAGGAAGCCCCACCCAGCATGGCTTACGCCAGAGGAAACATTTGTTGGCTGACACAGCAGCTGGGCTTGGAACTCAAAGGATGAGAATACCTCATTTCCTGCCCCCTCAGTCCTCTGGTGGGACCCTGTCTGATACCTGTCCCTCCAGAGAGGCATGACGTTGCTGTCCCTTTGCAGCCGCCCTTCAGAAGCAGGTCCAGAGACAAGATCTCTGCCTTTCTGAGCTTCCCATCACAGTTCTAGAATTCAGGGTCCTGGGAGCACCCCTTCCTGGTTACTGCTGCCATGGAAAGGTTATCCCACGTTGTTCAGCCTGAACTAGGAGAAGGACCAGTTCAGTGGAGCTCAAGAAAGAATAGTGGAGGGGGGTGGCTGTCCAAAATGAGCAGGGAGGTAAAAGGCCAGGAAGGCGGGGCTGGGCGGGGCTGGATGCATACTGCACAACGGTTTGAGACTGGGGTCTCACAGCTCAGGTCCGCTCAGCCCTTTCAGCTGTGGATCCATACACTCTCCTCAAGGTGGACTTCGGCTAGGCATGACTGGCTCGATGGGAGAGCTCAAGCTTAGGGTGCACCAACTTCAGCTCCATCCTCTGTATCAAAGACTGTAGCCGGTCCCTTCCCACACCCGCAAACCCTGCTTTGCAACCTGATTTAAACTAGAAGTATTACAACAGGTGTATTACAGGGTTAGGGAGCAGTTAGCAGAGCACTCCCACAGCACCCCAAAGGCTTCACACACACACGCAGGACAGCCAACCTCTGCACTTTTTTTTCCTAAATATTCATTTATTTTATGTATGTCAGTATTCTTGCTGTCTTTAGACACACCAGAAGAGGGCAGTGGATCCCATTACGGATGGTTGTGAGCCACCATGTGGTTGCTGGGAATTGAACTCAGGACCTCTGGAAGAACAGTCGGTGTTCTTAACCACTGAGCCATCTCTCCAGCCCCAACCACTACACTTTTAAAGCGTACTTGCATCTACTGTTTACATCTTTCCTTACAATACTGTTTTAATACTATCATTCTGTTTTAAGCAATTCTGAAGAATCAATTAGTATTTGTATCAGTATTTTATCAGTATTTGTCTTAATATATAAAACTAGTTGGACCAGGAGGGGGATAAAGTTTGGACTGTAAAAAAAAAAGATTAAAGAATAATATATTTCTTCCTTGATAATATTTTTTAATTGCTAAAGTATAATTTTTATTTCATCTTGGGCCTAGCATCTTCTCCTAGATGAAGCATCATTTTTAAGTAAGTGAAATGAGTTGAGGATTTAGAACCAAAATCACTTAATCCAGGTGCCACATGATAAGGACCTGTACTTGCCCTGTGGGAAGCAGATAGCTCAGGCTAGAAAGGACACAGCCTGCACTGAAGTGGGCAGCCTGAGGCCCTACGGAGGTGAGCAGGCTTGGTGCTGCTGTAGTTGGTCATACTCTTCTGATAAGGCAAAGTCAGGTTTAAAACAGCCCCAGCCTACACCCAGGACCCACAGAATAAATGTCTTTTATTTTTGGAAGAAATGCTGTCCCTCAGCTTCCAGTCCCATAGACACAGTTCTGGGGCATCAGGGAGGGCCTATGTGCAGCAGAAATGATCCGATTTATTGCCAAGGGTGAGCTTGCCTCATTCATTCCAGGTGTGCAGTGTGGGGCACAGCCGCAGTGACTGTCACACCACGTGAGGTGTGCATCTACTCTTTGTTGTGCTGGTTTGTGAGCCATGAGCCTCCAGTTTGGTGGTTTGAGGTCATTTTCCCAACTGAACTTGGCATGAGGCCACGTTTAGTGATTCCTAGCTACAAGGGGCCAAGTCTTGACATTTGGAATTGTTGTGTGTATTTAAAGAAAAATCCTTTGCATGCTTAGAAATAAGGCATGTGTCTGACAGACCCCTCTCAGACTGCCTTACCCTGACTGCAGAGAGGGCTTGAGGCCAGTGAGATGGGAAAGCAAAGGATGCTTACATGGCAGCAAGCAAGGCAGGACAGCCAGCGCAGGCACACCAGCATGCTCAGTGGGTGAAGATGGCCACATCACAATGGCTTGCCTTTGAGACACAGCTGCACTCCTGCTAGGCTCTGGTGCAGCCCTTGGGGCATGAAGGGAGGTGATGGGGTCTCCCTGGGGTTTGTGGCAGCTCATAAATGTGGTAACAGTTGGCTTAGTTGTTCAGGTCAGTGCTCTAAGCTTAGCAGTGCACTGAGGTTTATCTTTTCTTCTGCAGGGAACTGAACAGCATGGGCATCTGGTATCGCATGGGCAGAGTGCCAAGAAACCACGACTCGTCTCAGCCCACCACGCCCTCCCAGTCCTCAGCTGCTTCCACCCCAGCCCCGAACCTTCCCAGGTGAGGTTTTGTTGGGATCTCACCATGCACTTACACGGTCTTAGGTCCTGCCAAGTCATGCAACAACTTAGAAAACACCCACTTAAGCATCTGCTAAAATAGTGCAAAATAGAGCTGAAAATTTGCAGAAGTCTAAACTTGGGCCTTAAAATGTCATGGTCAGAAGTCCATGAATTCCACTCTGTATTCTATGTTGTGTGAATGCTACAAATTTCTACCACTGCAGGAGGTGTGGTTCAATCCAGCTGGCTGAGCCAGGCATGTGGTTCTCACCCTCAATCCCAGCACTCAGGAGGCAGAGGCAGGCAGATCTCTGTGAAGTCCTGGCCAGCCTGGTCTACATAGCAAGTTCCAGGTCAGCCAAGGGCACATAGTGAGACCCTGTCTCAAAACCAAACCAAATAAAACAAAACAAACAAGCAAACAATTGGCTTGCCATTCAAATGGGCTTATAGACATGCAGGGATGTGTGTGGGCAGCCAGGTGGTCAGGGCCCGAGGGTAGAAACTCCTGTCAGCTCTGCCAGCAACTCATCTGACACCAGCAGGATGGGGCAGCCATCCCTAGAAGCAGTCCTTAGAAAGAGGCGAGTTTTCAGAACATTGCATTCATTGTAATAATTAACTCCAGGGAGTCCCTGGGGACCAGCACAGCCACTCTGCAGCTGACTGCCCTGGTGTTCGTGGAGTAATGTGTCTACTCTGCAGAGTAGCCGTCGAGGAAAGACTCCCATGAATAAGAAACAGGGTGTCCCTAGGAAACTGCTAGGGACACAGCAGTGATGAGTTAAGTCTGAGAGACTGCAACAGCAAACGGAAGGAGGGACGGCAGATGGTTTGCTAGGGGTCGAGGTGTCTTGAGACCACATTGAAGAGCTCTCCATAGGAAGAGGTGAGTATCTTTCTTTAGCAGGACAGAAGGGGTGCCAAGCCAGCCCCTCCCCCCATGGAGCAGCTGCCCTCAAGAGGCTGCTCTGCCCTCTGCAAGTTGTCCCTCCAGGCTGAGCATCTACTCTGGGTAGAGCTACCGGAGTGACCCCAGGCCAAGGACTCTGTCTTTTGGACCCTGTGCAAGCCACCTAGTTCTTCCTGTGGCAGCCTCCCACACCAGGAGCAGTGTTTAAAGGTAACTAGCTCTGACTGACAAGTGACTGCTCAGGAGTGTAGGGCTGGCATGATGCAGGTGGGCACACCTTCATTCCTCACTGACTGGTAAGGCTATCATGGCACTGTCCTAGGCCGTTGCTTGAGGGTCACCATAACTTCTGCCAGCATCCTCACCTGTGCTGGGTGGGGTCAACTCAGACTCGGCTTTGGTGCTCATGGTCAGCTCGAGTTTGGATTAACTGTGGAGGCTCCCGAGCCTTTGGGGCTCAATTGCCTTGAATAAATAGAGCCAGTTCCCCCAAGACATGTGGTCTGTAAGGACCCAGAAATGGGCATCACCTTAGGCAGGTGCTAATTCCTGACACATGGAATGAAGCCATTTTAATTTGTTTTCAATTGCTGTGGAAAAATATGGACCAAAAGCAACCCCTGGCAAGACAGTTTACTTGACTTATACATCCTAGTCAGTCTGTCATTGAAAGAAGACAGAGCAAAACTGAAGCAGAGGCCATGGAGTAGTGTTCTTTTCCCATGGCTTGCCCAGCCTACTTTCTTAAAGCACCCAGGACCACCTGCCCAGGGATAGCACCATCCCAGGGAGCTGGGCCAGCCCACACAGGCCAATCTGATGGAGGCATTTTCTCAACTGAGGCTCTCTTCTTCCCTTATGACCCTAGCTTAGAGGAGAAAGGGAGAGTATTTGTCCTGAGCTTGCCTGTCACAGGAGAGCCAGGTCACCTGTCGTCACAGCAGGCGGCCTGAGGCAGTCCCCAGGCTCTGGGAGCTGGTGGGGTTAGAAGGTGGCTCAAGCCACAGAGTGCTTATAAGGCTTATGTATTTTATGACCTTGGTGCAGTTTATGGTTTACAATGGCTGCAAGGAAATTGGATCAGTTCTGTTTTACTTGCCAAATAAAACAAATGTCAAAATAGTCAATATAAAATGTATTCTAATTTGGCTGAGTTAAGTCAGCCGGCTTTCTGAGGATCACTCCTGTATGCAGATGCTGCCGCGTGTCCGTCCCCCAGCTCTCCTCTGTGGCTGGGCGCTGATTTACAGGCAGTGTGTGCTCTGTGGGAGTCTCCTAAGTCATCTGGGTTTGGTGTTTTTATCTTTTGTGGGTTGACTTGGATTTTATTCTTTTCCTATTCAGCATCTTTGATTTTTTTTTTTTTTAAGAAAAGAACCGATAGTTACTTACTTGAATTTTCCACTGAAGACAGAAAGGGTTGAGTGTGGGTTTTTTACTTTTTTCTTCCACGAGGTGCTGGGTCTCTGTAAGAGACTCTGTAAGGGAATGATGGCTTTAAGGTAACATGAAGACTCAGCTCCCCTAATAGGCTGCACCCCACCACCATGTCCCTCACCCCTGTACCCCCCCCCACCCCCCCGCCCCCGGGCCCCGGGGTAAAGTCAGATGCGTACCCGGCAACTGCCCCCCCCACCCCGTTTCTGTTTTATTCTGAGCCTGAGCCTCCCTTGAGTCTTGCACCCCTCTGGGCTGCCAGTGCTCAGGTCACTGGCTGAGCAATCCCTTGTTGTCCCAGTCCCAGCACATGTGAAGTGTAAAGCACATGCTTCTCCAGCAGCGAGAACCCTGTGTTCTACCCCTCCAGAGACTCCCCATCCCTGAGCACTGCAGAGTTTTTCAGTTACAGAGCAGTAAGTGCTTATGGGAAATTGGCAGAATATAGAAAAGAATGAGAAAACAAAGGCCATTTCCATTGAGGAAATTCTCATAACCTTTTGTTACATTTCCTTCGAGCTCTTTCCCCTGTGTACTTTTATGTAGGTGACATCATCACATATATAGCAAGTTTGTAATTTTCCCATGGAGTGTTAAACCACAAACATCAGGAACACTTTCCTGGTCTTTGTGTGGAGACACCTGATCCAAGAACCAAAGCATAGCTGCCAGGAGCGTGGTGATGGGGTGCCCTCTACTGGCCAGTTAGGAGGTGGCAGGAGGCTAGCTGGGTGGGAGCCACAGGCAAGAGGCAGATAGGGAGGGTGGCAACCAGGAGACTGGGAGTCAGTCTCAAAAGCAAAGGGCATGTGTTCTGCCAGCTCTTGGATTTGAAGTGTCCCCAGCAGCTTTCTGGAGAGCTGTCGTTTCCAACTTTACTTTAGACAAAAGGGGCATTTGCTGACCTTTTCACGAGTGACAGGCCATCACCTTTGTCATCTTTCCCAGTTCCCACATGAGCCTCACCACTGCTGCAGAGGTGTTTATGGTAAACGTTGATCTAGAGCCCTCCTCCTTGCATTCCTGCACGGAGATCTCTGGCTAGGCAGGATGCTCACTGGTGATGTCCAGCAAATTGGATATTGAGTTCAATGGTGTTTGTGTCAAAAGTCACATAAGATGGCCTGGCAGAATTCACCCGCTATCCAGTGAGCCCTGGTTTCACCCACAAGCCTCTGCTTAGGTCTCTGGTCTTTGTTCAGGACTTGGAGCTTGTATCTCCTCCAGGAAGTGAGCATCCATCCCTTGCCGACTAGTGCTGCACATTATCCAGTAGGATGGGGTGACCTGAGGGCTGAGGGCATACTTATCTCAGCTAAATAGGCTAGCCTAGAAGGGGAGTGCTGTTCTGCTCAGGACTGCCACCTGGGAGCACATGTACCAATAACAGTATTGTCTTCCAACAGAGCACCCCATGGCCTCTCACACGTGGGGACTCACCTGTGACAACAGAGGACCCTGGCCCTCTCACACGTGGGGACTCACATGTGACAACAGAGGACCCCAGGCCCTCTCACACATGGGGACTCACATGTGACAACAGAGGACCCCAGGCCCTCTCACACATGGGGACTCACATGTGACAACAGAGGACCCTGGCCCTCTCACACATGGGGACTCACATGTGACAACAGAGGACCCAGGCCCTCTCGCACATGGGGACTCACCTGTGACAACAGAGGACCCTGGCCCTCTCACACATGGGGACTCACATGTGACAACAGAGGACCCCAGGCCCTCTCACACATGGGGACTCACCTGTGACAACAGAGGACCCTGGTCCTCTCACACATGGGGACTCACATGTGACAACAGAGGACCCCAGGCCCTCTCACACATGGGGACTCACATGTGAAAACAGAGGACCCTGGCCCTCTCACACATGGGGACTCACATGTGACAACAGAGGACCCTGGCCCGCTCACATGTGACAACAGAGGACCCCAGGCCCTCTCACACATGGGGACTCACATGTGACAACAGAGGACCCTGGCCCTCTCACACATGGGGACTCACATGTGACAACAGAGGACCCAGGCCCTCTCACACATGGGGACTCACATGTGACAACAGAGGACCCCATGGCCTCTTACATATGGGGGCTCACATGTGACAACAGAGGACCCCAGGCCCTCTCACACATGGGGACTCACCTGTGACAACAGAGGACCCATGCCCTCTCACACATGGGGACTCACATGTGACAACAGAGGACCCTGGCCCTCTCACACGTGGGGACTCACATGTGACAACAGAGGACCCTGGCCCTTTCACACATGGGGACT